TTTGTGACATAGAATGACGGTTTGAGAAAGGGGCTTGCGACAGTCAAAGGGTTAAATAACATGGATCCAAACCAGTGCCTTGAAAGAATCAGCTTCCTGTCAGCTGAGGTATGTTTAAGACATATTCCCCAAAGAAAGAAGAAGAGAAGGAGTCAACTGGAGAGAGAAAGATGCTCTCTACAGAAAACGAAGAAGAATCACTGAGCTCCTCAAGAATGCTAGATTATCTGATACATGGAAGGAAGTGGTGACCAGGGAAGTGGAAAGTATCGAACTTAAGTGAAAGGACTCTTTCTGGACCCAGGAGAGACAGGAGGGGATAAAAGCAATTAGCGAAATTGAAAGAAATTCGAAATATTTCTTTTCATATGCCAAAAACAAGGCAAATACCACATCTAGTATCAGGCCCTTGCTCAGACAAGATGGGACTTACACAGACGACAACAAAGAAATGAGTGAGATACCGAAATCATTCGAAAGATCGACTATCTAAATTTATTTTTTCAAGAATGAGCCTTAAAAAACTGTCAGTGTATGCCATATTTCTGACATTACCCTAACTCCGACAGACTTTGAGAAGGCCATTGACAACATGCCCATGCACTCAGCCCCAGACCCAGACTTGTAGAACTCTGTGTTCATTAAGAACTGCAAGAACCCCCTTTATCATGCCCTAAGTATACTGTGGAGAAGGAGCTTAGACATAGGTGAAATTCCATACAGTAAAAGCAACAGATATAGCCCCATTCCATAAAGGTGGCAGCAAAGCATTAGAAAAGACTATAGACCAATATCTCTAATGTCCCACAGCATAAAAATCTTTGAAAGAATGCTAAGAAGCATGATTGCAAACCACTTGGATTCCCAAAAACTGCACAATCCAGGGCCATATGGGTTCAGAACAGGTCGCTCCTGCCTCTCGCAACTACTGGATCACTGTGATATGGTCTTGGATGCACTTGGAGAAAAACAGAATGCAGATGTAATATACACAGACTTTGCAAAAGCCTCTGACAAGTGTGATCATGGCGTAATAGCGCACAAAATACATGCTAAAGGAATAACCTGAAAAGTGGGGAGATGGATCTTCAACTTTCTAACCAATTGAACACAAAGAGTAGTGGTCAACAGAGTTAAATCAGAAGCTGCCATAGTGAAAAGCTCTGTTCCACAAGGCACAGTACTCACCCCCATCCTGTTCCTCATCCTCATATCAGACATAGACAGAGATGTAATCCACAGCACCACGTCATCCTTTGCAGACGATACTAGGATCTGCATGAGACTGTCATCTATTGAGGACGCGGTTAACCTCCAACAAGATATAAACCAAGTTTTCCAGTGGCCAATGGAAAACAGTATGATGTTCAATGAAGACAAATTCCAACTACTCTGTTATGGAAAACTGGAGGAGATAATAACTAGAAGTGAGTATACTACAAACTCTGATCATACAGACCATACCCCCGGCCGGGATTGAACCCGCGGTCATAGAGTCTCAAAACTCCAGCCCGTCGCGTTAGCCACTAGACCAGCTAGCCACAATAAGATTCATCCAACTAGGTTTATTTCTACACCATAGGTAGGTTAGCACAGGCACCACTGTGACCACAAATGCAAGTTTTTTTGCGGGTTCAATCCCGGCCGGGGGTATGGTTTGTTTGGAATCGTGTCATTACGATTTCTTGAGTCTGATCATACAGTAGAGCAGAAAAATAATGTGAGGGACCTGGGAGTAGTAATGTCTGAGGATTTCACTTCCAAGGATCACAACAGTGCCAAGATCACAACTGCAAAGAAAATGATAGGATGAATAATGAGAACATTCAGAATAAGAGATGCCAAGCCAATGATGATCCTTTTTAAATCACTTGTTCTCTCTAGGCTGGAATATTGCTGTACATTAACATCTTCGTTCAAAGGAGGTGAAATTGCAGATCTAGAGAGTGTACAGAGAACCTTTACTTCACGTATAAGTTCTGTCAAGCACCTTAACTTCTGGAAATGCTTGGAAGCACTTGACTTGTACTCGTTGGAATGCAGGTGAGAGAGATGTATCATAATCTACACTTGGAAAATCCTAGAAGGAATGGTCCCTAATCTGCAAATGGAAATCACTCCCTATGAAAGTAAAAGAGTGGGCAGGCGGTGCAAAATACCCCCAATGAAAAGTAGGGGTGCCATTGGTACACTAAGAGAAAGCACCATAAGTATCTGGGGCCCAAAACTGTTCAACAGCCTCCCACCATTCATAAGGGGAATTACCAGTAGGCCCCTGGCTCCCTTCCAGAGGGAGCTGGACAGATACTTAAAGTCGGTGCTGGATCAACTGGGCTGTGGTTCGTACGTTGGACTACGTGTGGCGAGTAGTGACAGCCTGGTTGATCAGGCCCTGATCCACCGGGAGGCCTGTTCATGGACCGGGCCGTGGGGACGTTGATCCCCAGAATACCCTCCAGGTTAGACTCCAGGTAAAGGAGATGCACAGGTGGTGGAAATGGAATGAGTCTTTGGTCTCAGTGGAATAACAGTTTTTTCAGTTACAGGTAATAGTATAAAGATGAGCTTGTGCATTCAGTAAATCAGGTTGTATCCTCTTAATAAGAATGTCACATAGGTCATCTCCATTAAACAATACAAAAATGTTACTGATTTTGTGGACTGAGCAGAACACCAACAAAGAGGCCTCAGTTAATGCCTTTATAATGAGGTAGAAAGCACATACTATAAAACACTTATGATTAGGCAGGAAAGCCTGGACAAAAGTGTTTATTAAGTTTTGGCTAATGCCTTCAGTTTAAAGTTTGTAGTCAGCTGCATAGTATTAAATTTCGTGGGGAAAGTGCATCTGCTGACCGTGCTGCTCCTGGGGATTTCCCTGCAAAACTGAAAGAAATTATCTTTTGAGGCAGGCAAGTGTTTAATGCTGACAAGATAGGATTTCATTGAAAGAAGATGCAGTCAAGAACTTTCTTCATCTGACAAGAGACAATTGCATATGCTGTATTCTTTTCAAGAGTAATGGACTGATTATATTGACTCCAGGCTGAGGGACTGATTACCTCGAACTACTCCTGATCTTCACCATGCTTCTTTGTTTAAGACTGATGAAGCCACTGTGTGGCAAAACGTTTCCTCAGTAAAGATACCCAGCTGTTGCACGTGTGTCTTAATTCATCAGCTTGTCGGTTCTCTGAACCATTTATCTACTTATCTGGAAGTGTCAGGAACATAGCTGTGTTTTACTCTGTGTTCTTCAGTTTGTTAAACATGATTTCATGTGATGCTTTGTTTTCAGAAACACCACTGTATTATTCTGTATTTCAGTACAAAAGAGTGGATAAATGCTGAGTGTTTGAGAACAGTATTAATTTTTCTTTTGCAGTATTAAAAAATATGAAATTACGTACATTTTTTGTTTACGAAATGTCAGTGAGTGCAGTCAAGATATTATTGAAGAAAGCTTTCAAACAGTTCATAACAGACCCAAGTCTTCAGTGGGTATATAAAAGGGAGAAAGACAGCTCAGATCAAGGAGCAGTGGGAAGTGAGAAGACAGTCCAGATCAGGTCAAGAGTGTTGTTAGTTCTAGTAAAGTATGCACTTCTCCACAATCTGTCAGAAAGGGAGTGACTGATTTCATGAGTGTATTGGATAGGGCAATAAAAGTAGAAAAGAGAATTAGCATTAGAAGAGCATCAATGGACAGGAGTAGAAGAATAAGCTAGAGTGCTTCAAGGTCTATTAGTTTGATGAAATATAATATTGATATCCAAAGGACATTGGCTACTATTAAGAGTATGCGAATTAGAAACTTATGGAAGACAAAGTGTAGGCATCTTCAGTGGAGATAAGTTTGGGGAGAAGAAATTTCTTTTTAGCTTGAGAGCAGGCTGAGTTTATGAAATTAGAGAAATAATCAAGACAAGAGAATTAATTTAACTTTGTAGAAAAATTGTAAATGTCAGCTGATTTTTTTTCATTGTGAAGGTATCACATAAATGAAGCACAGAACTTGTTTGCTTTTAAAAGTGAGAGATTATTAAATAACAGAAAGAGTCAGTAAAATAACCTGTATGACCCATATGAGCTATGCACATTTTTGAGGGGGTGGCTGGAGGCAGTGGAGATGTCATGTCTGAGGGCAATGTTTGGTGTAAATATTAAGCTGAGAATTTGTAGCTTGAAGATTAGGAGGCGTTACGGTGTTTCTAACAGTATTATCCTGAGGGCTGAGGAGGGTTTGTTGAGGTGGTTTGGGCATTTAGAGAGGATGGAGCAAAATAGGATGACTTGGAGGGTATATAAATCTTTAGTGGAGGGAAGGTGGGGGTAGGCATCACTCTAAGAAAGATTGAAGGGAGAGGGTAAAGAGGTTTGGTGTGTGAGGGGATTAGACATCCAGTAGGTGTATGTGAGTGTGTTAGGGGTGAGTGGAGGCAAATAGTTTTTGGGACTTTATGAACTATTGGAGTGTGAACAAGGTAGCATTTTGCAAAAGGATTCAGGAAAACTAGTTAGCTGGACTTGAGTCCTGGAGGTGGAAAGTACAGATCCTGTACTCTGAAAGAGGGGTAGGGATATTTGCAGTTTGGAGGGACATCTGAACTGTGGTATTGGCATGCCTCTGGTGAAACAGTGATAGGGTGAATGATGGTGAATGTATTTCTTCTTCTTTTGGGTCACCTAACCTTGGTGGGAGATGGCTGGTGTGTTCAAAAAATAATTGCTAATAAATGATAGAAAATGAAGAAATTTGTTTTTTGATAAAATGTAGCATACCATGATACAGTACAACTTTTGTGAATGTGGCGTTGGTGTTCGAACTGCCAAAAGTAAGACAAGTAATGATGTAATGAGTGATGATTGTCAGGTACTGTAGTTCTGTAAAAATTGCATTTTTTGTAAATACATACCTTTTTTTTTTTCTTGCCAGCTTTATCTGTCGTGCAATCTTTGCTTAAAATCAAGATCCATTCATGAATGTTTTCATTCACCAGTTGAAGACCTTTATGCCTATGAGAAACCTGCCACGAGAAAAAGACCACATCAAAGTAATAATCACCTGACAGATCAAGTAGTGAAGCGTCAAAGACAAGAAGAAAGCTTTAAATGTAGGAAATTGGCTGTGGCTTACATATGCAGGCCCCCACCTAAGGTAGGTTGTCTATATACTTGTAATTAAAGCTAAAACTGTTTGCTTGCAACCTTCATTTGTCTTCTAATATTTCAGTGTGTTCCTTAATCCTGTTATAAATTTGTCTTAGAAATTACAAAGATCATTTCCCATATTATATAAGTTTAGCTCAGCTCGTATCCTTATGAATTTCTCTTAAAAAGTTACACTTCTATTTTTTGCTATTGTTACCTCTCTTACATATAAAATTCCAGTAGAATACCTTTATGTGTAGGCAACATTAACTTTTTATTCCATTACTATTTTTTTTTCCAGTATTTCCTTTGCTCGTATTTGCAACCGTAATACCTCTTAACTACACTGTGAATGAAGACATGAAATTAACTAACTGACATAGCACATTTTTGCTTAACTCACTCAGTGCCCTAGCACTACTAAAACATTGTACTATACTCTCTTTGAAAATCTTCCACTGCGTTTCATATGATCTACAATTAATTCACACCCATCTGCTAATTTAGTATTACCACCAAGCTTTGGTTTAAAAAACTATGACCAGAATATTTTTTTTTAACTTCTTAAAGGCAGGCACACTCAAACTGGAGAACTGCTTAAAGGCTGGTGTACCTGCAGGGCCTCTACTAGGAGAGTTGAAAAGAGGACAAGATGTAACGTTACCTAATGGTAATGTTGTCCGAGCAGTGGATGTTACAGCCCCAGATGATCCAGGCCCTGTTTTTATTGGTAAGCTGTAATTCATATAGCTTTTAAGAAAAGGTAGAAAGCAATAAAAAATCATTGAAAAGAGGCAGGTAATTAATAGGAAAGTTTTGAAGTTAATGAATAGTACTTGAACCACTTCTTTTTTTTTTTCTTCTTCTCCAGTGTGGTACTCTTGTTTCCTTTTTGTTGTGCTGTGCATTTTACTTGGTTTTTGTACAGTATTGTTAGCACTAGCTTTAATAATACCCCTGTATGTACTAAAATTAAATTCCCCTCACCTTTGAACAGTGGTTGAGGCCCCCACTGAAGACTACCTTGACTCGCTGCTTGAATCCAGTGCCTTCACCCCACACCAATCTTCAGCTACATGTGAGGAAGATTTGGCAGAAGTAGTAGTGCACTTCACTCCTCCCAAAGTTTTGGCTGATCCTCGATATCAAGAATGGATGGCTCGATTTAAACCATCAACCAGCCATATTGTCATTAATAGTGATAGCTCTTGCATGGGATCTGAAGCTGTTCATAGGATCCAGTACAAACTTAATCATCTCAGTGAGACAGTTTTTCCACTACTAAAAGATGCTAGCATTCCAATCAGAGATACAAATATTGTAGAAGACAGTGAAGTAAAAGTGAATGGCTCAAATGCTGAGGTCACAAGCATCTCTAGTAAAAATCTTTTCATGCAGAAGAAAGAAAATAGCTGTAACAGTGATTCAAACTCTCATTTTATAATAGGACCAATTCATCAAGCAACTACGCTCCTCACCTATCATATAAGGCCGAAGAAAAAACTTGACATGTAAGTATGTTCCAGTAATGATGTAGTGAAACAGGATGAGATTTTTCAAATGCCGTTAGTAATGATAGGGGTTAACCCTTAAACTGTCCAAATGTAGATCTACGTTCACTTGGGTAGTGCTCTAAATTTTTTTTTTTTTTTTTCCAACAAGTCGGCCGTCTCCCACCGAGGCAGGGTGACCCAAAAAGAAAGAAAATCCCCAAAAAGAAAATACTTTCATCATCATTCAACACTTTCACCTCACTCACACATAATCACTGTTTTTGCAGAGGTGCTCAGAACATAACAGTTTAGAAGCATATATGTATAAAGATACACAACATATCCCTCCAAACTGCTAATATCCCGAACCCCTCCTTTAGAGTGCAGGCATTATACTTCCCATTTCCAGGACTCAAGTCCGGCTATATAAAAATAACCGGTTTCCCTGAATCCCTTCACTAAATATTACCCTGCTCACACTCCAACAGATTGTCAGGTCCCAAATACCATTCGTCTCCATTCACTCCTATCGAACACGCTCACGCATGCCTGCTGGAAGTCCAAGCCCCTTGCCCACAAAACCTCCCTTACCCCTTCCTTCCAACCTTTTCGAGGACGACCCCTACTCCGCCTTCCTTCTCCTACAGATTTAAATGCTCTCCATGTCTTTCTACTTTGATCCATTCTTTCTAAATGACCAAACCACCTCAACATCCCCTCTTCAGCCCTCTGACTAATACTTTTATTAACTCCACACCTTCTCCTAATTTCCACACTCCGAATTTTCTGCATAATATTTACACCACACATTGCCCTTAGACAGGACATCTCAGCTGCCTCCAACCGCCTCCTTGCTGCTGCATTCACAACCCAAGCTTCACACCCATATAAGAGTGTTGGTACTGCTATACTTTCATACATTCCCTTCTTTGCTTCCATAAATAACGTTTTTTGACTCCACATATACCTCAACGCACCACTCACCTTTTTTCCCTCATCAATTCTGTGATTAACCTCATCCTTCATAAATCCATCCGCCGACACGTCAACTCCCAAGTATCTGAAAACATTTACTTCTTCCATACTCCTCCCCAATTTGATATCCAATTTTTCTTTATCTAAATCATTTGATAACTTCATCACCTTACTCTTTTCTATGTTCACTTTCAACTTTCTACCTTTACACACACTCCCAAACTCGTCCACTAACCTTTTGCAATTTTTCTTTAGTCTCCCATAAGCACAGTATCATCAGCAGAAAGTAACTGTGTTAATTCCCATTTTGTATTTGATTCCCCATAATTTAATCCCACCCCTCTCCCGAACACCCTAGCATTTACTTCTTTTACAACCCCATCTATAAATATATTAAACAACCATGGTGACATTACACATCCCTGTCTAAGACCTACTTTTACCGGGAAGTAGTCTCCCTCTCTTCTACACACCCTAACCTGAGCCTCACTATCCTCATAAAAACTCTTTACAGCATTTAGCAACTTACCACCTATTCCATATACTTGCAACATCTGCCACATTGCTCCCCTATCCACTCTATCATATGCCTTTTCTAAATCCATAAATGCAATAAAAACTTCCCTACCTTTATCTAAATACTGTTCACATATATGCTTCAATGTAAACACTTGATCTACAAATCCCCTACCCACTCTGAAACCTCCTTGCTCATCCGCAATCCTACATTCTGTCTTACCTCTAATTCTTTTAATAATAACCCTACCGTACACTTTTCCTGGTATACTCAGTAAACTTATTCCTCTATAATTTTTACAATCTCTCTTGTCCCCCTTCCCTTTATATGAAGGGACTATACATGCTCTCTGCCAATCTCTAGGTACCTTCCCCTCTTTCATACATTTATTAAACAAAAGTACCAACCACTCCAACACTATATCCCCCCCTGCTTTTAACATTTCTGTCATGATCCCATCAGTTCCAGCTGCTTTACCCCCTTTCATTCTACGTAATGCCTCACGTACCTCCCCCACACTTACATTCTGCTCTTCTTCACTCCTAAAAGATGGTATACCTCCCTGGCCTGTACATGAACTTACCACCTCCCTTTCTTCCTCAACATTTAAAAATTCCTCAAAATATTCTCGCCATCAACCTAATACCTCCCCCTCCCCATCTACCTAATACCTCCCCATCTACTAACTCCCCTACTCTGTTTTTAACTGACAAATCCATACGTTCCCTAGGCTTTCTTAACTTGTTTAACTCTAAAATTTTTTTTTATTTTCATTAAAATTTCTTGACAGTGCCTCTCCCACTCTATCATCTGCTCTCCTTTTGCACTCTCTCACCACTCTATTCTCCTTTCTTTTACTCTCCATATACTCTGCTTTTCTTATAACACTTTTGTTTTGTAAAAACCTCTCATAAGCTAACTTTTTCTCTCTTATCACACCCTTTACTTCATCATTCCACCAATCACTCCTCTTTCCTCCTGCCCCCACCCTCCTATAACCACAAACTTCTGCCCCACATTATAATACTGTATTTTTAAAACTCATCCAACCCTCTTCAACCCCCCCACTACTCATCTTTGCACTAGGCCACCTTTCTGCCAATAGTCGCTTATATCTCACCCGAACTTCCTCCTCCCTTAGTTTATACAATTTCACTTCCCTCCTACTTGTTGTTGCCACCTTCCTCTTGTCCCATCTACCTCTTACTCTAACTGTAGCTACAACTAAATAATGATCCGATATATCAGTTGCCCCTCTATAAACATGTACATCCTGGAGCCTACCCATTAACCTTTTATTCACCAATACATAATCTAACAGACTACTTTCATTACGTGCTACATCATACCTTGTATATTTATTTATCCTCTTTTTCATAAAATATGTATTACTTATTGCCAAATCTCTTTCTACACATAGCGCAATTAAAGGCTCCCCATTTACATTTACCCGTGGCATCCCAAATTTACCTACTACTCCCTCCATAACATTTTTACCCACTTTAGCATTGAAATCCCCAACCTCAAGTACTCTCACACTTGGTTCAAAAATTCCCACGCATTCACTCAACATTTCCCAAAATCTCTCTCTCTCCTCTTCACTTCTCTCTTCTCCAGGTGCATATACGCTTACTATAACCCACTTTCACATCCAACCTTTATTTCACTTCACATAATCCTTGAATTAATACATTTATAGTCTCTCTTTTCCTGCCATATCTTATCCTTCATCTTTATTGCTACTCCTTCTTTAGCTCTAACTCTATTTGAAACCCCTGACCTAATCCCATTTATTCCTCTCCACTGAAACTCTCCTACTCCCTTCAGCTTTGTTTCACTTAAAGCCAGGACATCCAGCTTCTTCTCATTCATAACATCCACAATCATCTCTTTCTTATCATTTGCACAACATCCATGCACATTCACACTTCCCACTTGGACAATTTTCTTCTTCTTATTCTTTTTAGTAATCTTTACAGGAAAAGGGGTTACTAGCCCATTGTTCCTGGCATTTTAGTTGACTTTTACAACGCACATGGCTTATGGAGGAAAGATTCTTATTCCACTTCCCCATGGATATAAAAAGAAAAGTAATAAGACCAAGAACTATTAAGATAAAATCAAAGAAAACTCAGATGAGTGTGTATAAATAAACGTGGAGTCAAAAAACGTTATCTATGGAGGCAAAGAAGGGAATGTATGAAAGTATAGTAGTACCAACACTCTTATATGGATGTGAAGCTTGGATGGTAAATGCAGCAGCGAGGAGACGGTTGGAGGCAGTGGAGATGTCCTGTCTAAGGGCAATGTGTGGTGTAAATATTATGCAGAAAATTTGGAGTGTGGAAATTAGGAGAAGGTGTGGAGTTAATAAAAGCATTAGTCAGAGGGCAGAAGAGGGGTTGTTGAGGTGGTTTGGTCATTTAGAGAGAATGGATCAAAGTAGAATGACATGGAAAGCATATAAATCTATAGGGGAAGGAAGGAGGGGTAGGGATCGTCCTCGAAAGGGTTGGAAAGAGGGGGTAAAGGAGGTTTTGTGGGCGAGGGGCTTGGATTTCCAACAAGCGTGCATGAGCGTGTTAGATAGGAGTGAATGGAGACGAATGATACTTGGGACCTGACGATCTGTTGGAGTATGAGCAGGGTAATATTTAGTGAAGGGATTCAGGGAAACCGGTTATTTTCATATAGTCGGACTTGAGTCCTGGAAATGGGAAGTACAATGCCTGCACTTTAAAGGAGGGGTTTGGGATATTGGCGGTTTGGAGGGATATGTTGTGTATCTTTATATGTATATGCTTCTAAACTGTTGTATTCTGAGCACCTCTGCAAAAGCAGTGATAATGTGTGAGTGTGGTGAAAGTGTTGAATGATGATGAATGTATTTTCTTTTTGGGGATTTTCTTTCTTTTTTGGGTCACCCTGCGTCGGTGGGAGACGGCCGACTTGTTGAAAAAAAAAAAAAATTGTATGTGTAGTGTGACCTAAGTGTAAGTAGAAGTAGCAAGACATACCTGTAATCTTGCATATTTATGAGACAGACAAAAGACACCAGCAATCCTACCATCATGTAAAACAATTACAGGCTTTCGTTTTACACTCACTTGGCAGGACGGTAGTACCTCCCTGGGTGGTTGCTGTCTACCAACCTACTTAGCTCTAAATATTTTGGGATTTTTTTTTTTTTTTTTTGTTTAAAGTGAAGAGTGCATTTTTCCCAGCATCCCCGAAGTTTGTCACACTGCTCACACTGAGTGCACAGACCCATTTTCTCATGTCTAGGCAACTCAGGCCTATTGTGCCAAGGTTGAAAGCATGTAAAATAAAATGTAGATCTACGTTTGGATTGCTACGCACATGAACGTACATAGATCTATGTTGGGACAGTTTAACCCCTTGACTGTCGAAACCCTTAATCCTGAAGTGTCTCCTGGTGTTGAAAAATATTGAAAAAAAAAAATTATTTTCTCTTATGAAAACGTTAAGATTATTTTTCTGATTGTTTTAGTCCAACAAAAATTTT